GGCGGGGTCAGGTCTTCGGGGCCAAGATGAGCGAGACAAATGGAAACAAACTGGATGCGCGAGAAAAATGGAAGAAAACTGTTGGCGCCAGGTGTTCGGGGCCAAGATCGGGGCCAAGAGCGCAAGAAATGAGAGAACAGGTTTTTTTTTCTAGGGATTCAGAGGGAGCATTTGGCATGGAAAGTGCAACCCCTCCAACTGGTCATGGCCTTTTTGAAATTCTTTGATTTCTGCGAAACCCATCGGTTGGTTCTTTGCACAGTAGTCCGCGCAATACCCTGTTTGGGCGTCTTGCGCACGTTGCGCCGCTAATGCAATGGCACGACGTTCCTCTGGCACGAGCTTGTCCCCGCAAACATCGCAGGCGTAGGGGAGGCGATAGGGCACTTGCACGTCACAATTTGCTCCCCGTAGACCCGCTAACATGGCCGGCGCGCACCCGTTCAGCCACTCGTCACCACAAGGACCGTGTAAAGAGCCTAAACGGTTTTTCCGACCAGTACTCCGCAGGCCGTATTTTTTCAGTTTGCATGGGCACAGCACGGCTGCGTCACTGCAAAGCCACTGTCTGCGCGGGAATTCACTCTGGCACACTCCTGGGCGGTCACTCTTTTGACATCCTGACAGTGGGACACGAGCCTGCATGGAATCGTTGGATAATGGTGCTGTTTCAGAAGCTGTAAAGCGACGACATCTTCTTCCAAGTATGCTTGCTTCCACGTTCCCGCCTCAGCATCTGCATCAGATCCGCGGGCGCGCTGCAGCTGATACCCGGTTGGTGCGGTCATGACAGTGTCATGGTCATGTTCCGGCCAAGATGCTTCGACCGCGTCAAGTCTCTTTTGGATATCGTCCTTGTCTTGACCCGCATAAGAGGCCTGGCCCACGTGCGCGTGATAGTTCTCATACGCGCGACGTAATGGTTGCATGTTCTCGTCCCGCCATCGGAAAATCTCTTCCAGTGGGGTATGTTGGTGCAAACACTGCACGAAAACTTGCGCGTGGCCATGCATGCTGCCAGTACTCTTTTGTGCTTCCAGTGTCACGTACACAGCGTCAACACGCCCGAAAATGTCGCCACTTGGCTCGGCGTTGCTACCACATTTGTCTTGACACGGCTCCTCGTGAGCAAAAACATTACAATCAGGGCAGATAGGGCAGCAACGGACTCCAAACAAGTGTTCTAACATCAAGTGTGTCAGCACCCGAAAGCCATCCACGGCTGCCAGCGGATCTCTGGGCTCTGGGCTCTGGCTGCCCTCGACGCTCTGTTGGAGGTGCCACTTGCTGGGCTTTGGCGCACCATTTCCCTTTTTCTCGTGGTGCGCCACGGCCCCTCTGGGCTATTTCTTGCCTATCGTCTTCTGCACGTTCTTCTTTTGGTCTTTCACCTTTCCAGCGGTGACGTAAAACCGGTTACCGCACACTGTCCGGTGATCAATTTGTCCCGTCGTGACATTGCTTGCGACCAGGCCACCACAATGCGGGCATGTGTACTTACGCTTTTCCTTTTCTTTGACGGTTCCATCCCTGACGCAAAACCGGTTGCCGCACACTGTCCGGTGATC